TTTTTCTTCTCTCTCTTCATTGGGTTTTTTTGCGCGAAGAATTGATTATGTCTAGCGTTTGCTTTCATTTGTGTGAAGAAATTTGTAATCGATGATTGATCTATAATGGATTTCGAATTTAAATTCCAATATCTAGGTTTATTTTGCGCGAGGGAGAAACGGGTAAGGTGAAATTTCGATTTCTTTGATGCGATAATTTTGTTGATTAATTACGATAGTGTTGTTAGGGCTTGCGACTGATTCAAATAAATATTTAACTATTTCTTTGGTAATTGTTATTCTATTTGAGATTACGGTTGCAATAGTTGCTAACTGAGTTTTATTATGATCTTTCGTCAGGACGGTGTGTATAGGAAAAAACGTTTTGTGTGTGGAGAGGGGCTGTTGCAACTTTTTGCTAGTTTATGTGGGCATTTTTACCGGTATTTTTTTCCAGTGTAGTATACTTATATTTATTAATATTATAACCATATTGTTTGATATTGTATGCTCAATGTATTTGAAAATACCCTGAAATTGTTGGTATATACTATGACTACTCATCTATAAACCTTGGTATTTATTTTATGTGTTTATATATTAAATAATGTTAAAATTTTGTAGTTGTGCAACGGTGTTTGCCGAAAATAATGAAAATTGGGAATGATTTTACTGGAAGTTAAAGTTTGTTCTTCATGTTGATGGTCGATTGGATATCTACGATGAACCCATTAACCCGGTGTCAACCCATGATATGGATGTGATGCATAACGACCTGGAGACAAAGATAATTTCTTCCACATCATCTGTCCAACCAAGCCGGCCAAAGAAAATATGATTTGAATCACAATATGTGAGACAAATTAATAAATATAATTGTTGTGGTCGTCTAAGACACAACCGACGAAGTTACAAGAAGATTTTAGCATATGTATTTTTTACGTGTTTCTTGGGGTATAAATTTTCTTTTGTTTTTGGAAGATTATACATTGACCGTAGATTTTTGTACGAGATCACTATTGAATGATTGAAAAATTTGATAATATTCCCTTGTATATTATTAGGCAAATACAACTATTATATCGGGATACATATCAATCCAATCCCATTATTACAAAATAGAAAACAAAAGTATGTGAATTCATAAAGAAAATACGTTACAGATTATTATAGTTACATAAAATATGATCAGAAGTAAAAGTTATTAACAACGATAATACATTACACGGTAATTTTCTTATTAAATTTTACGTATATTTGAGGTTCTTTATGTCCCCTAAATACTCATTACGATATAACATGACTCGAAGTGCACCCCCATCGTTTATTTGAAACTATATTAACATAAATCGAATTTATTTATGAGGGTACATAATATTTTTGAAGGAGTAGCTATAATGAAAATACGAGTATGTTGTGACGTTTAGGAAGTATATTTATTAGTATCATATGTATACCTACGAGTAAGAGTGTGAGCCTTTGTGTATGAAAGTATTCGTATTTGTTTCGTATACAAGTATAATTATTGTAACAATGGATATTTTAACTATCTATCCAGAATGTTTCATTGATTGTTGTTGGATCATCCAATTACTACTTGTTTACATCACACCCACTTTCTCAGAAGTTACTATGCATTAGCGGATATTTCTAAAATAACTTATAAGATCACTTATTCATGTATTTAATGGTGGATGAGAATGTAACTTAAGATAGATATAGTATAACATATCATGTGGTAAACCATAGTAATAGATATTTTGAAGTTAGTATATAACTAATGATGCATTATGTTCTTTGTATCATTATTGTCCGTGCAAGCATTTTTTTAAATTAGAAGGGAACTTCCAACAAGAATAAATGTATTAGAAGTTATAGTGAGTAAATGTTATGTATGAAACATATTGGATCCTATGAGGAACATATTAGTCATTGCTGTGTACATACAATGTATCAATTAGTGTTTTTTAGAAGATTTATTGATTACACATCTTTTCAATATTCATCGAATATGTATAAAATTACTTATAAAGCCTATTCCTTAATACAAGTATATTAAATCAATTAGAAGTATATAACTTAGTAAAATAGATGAACAAATATCATCATTTGGGGTATGTGACTTTCACTTAGGGCCTCTCAACACCCAATCATGATTGTGGCTAACTTAGAAGACTATGGTTTGAATAGATCATTTCAATTTCGTTGAATATTGGTTTCTATAAACCAATACTACCGAAACGATCATTGAAATCATTTGTTTATGCATTCAAGAGTGGATAAGAATATTACATAAGATAAATTTGACATAACATCATTGTGGATCATGGTAAGAGATATCAATGAGTTAATGGATAACTGATGAGACATTTTGGTCCTTACACTCTTTATTGGCTTTGTCAATGTCAGCATTTTGTAGACTAGAAAAATATTCGCAACGAAAAATGTGTTACAAGGTATGAGAAATAAATATAATATATAAGACATATTAGGATTGTCCATATTATAAGTATTAGTCATTGATGTGTACATTGAACGTGTCTATCGGTCCTTTCAGAACAGTACGGTGAGTACACATCTTTTCACTACATGTTGCATATGTATATAGTTACTTATAAAGTTTATTCATTAATAAGAGTACATGAAATTGTGTTTTACTTAAATGAGGAACATATGTCATCAGTAGGAGTATATTGTTCAAATTTAGGAGTTTCTCCATACCTTATCACGAAATTTTACGCACTGAAGTATATTTCTTAATTCTACGTGTAACTACCTACAATACCAAAAGTCCATACTTATGGAGAATCGCATATGTCATTTGTTGAATTAGAAACTACGATAATCCTTAAAAGTTTTGACAAAAATATAACATCAATGACTTATTACCCCCAATTTGGCAACTATGCTTCAAACCTCATTTGTCCTCAATTCATGCACAAAAATTAACATACAAATCTGATAAATGATATTAGACAGTGTCTCCAGGGTCTCTTGATAAAATCTTCACAAAAACCTTTGTTCGACATATTTTGACATTGTCGAATTTAGTAGCTCATCTGCTAAACGGATAAGTTTCGTGTTGCATAAAGCATAACTCTTAGAGAATATACATATTAGTAACCTACCATCATGTCTCTCACCTTGGACCTGACAATATTTAAAACAAATAATAAGTCTGCAAAAGTATATACAACACCGATTTAAGTTTATAACATAACTATATAGGTATATAACTTTATTGTAGAAGAACGTCAATTGAAAACCAGAGCACACATTATATACCATTTGTTGTAATAAAAAATATTTGGAGGCATTAACGCACACTAGTAAAAACAAACATAATTTTTATAAATCAAAAAAATAAATGCATGAACATCCAACAATATGATAGAGATATCAATAAACACATTCAATACTTAAGAAAGTCATTTCACATGAGAAATTGACACCAACGGTATTTGGAAAAAAAAAAATTAACTCCACCCATATTATATTGTAACTATTTTATGAGAAAATTAAACCTAATAAGATGGAAATGAAGTTAATTTTATATATAATAAGGTTACTTACTCTTTAAAGACATCAAAATAACCTATACTTAAAATGATGGTAGGTTACGATGTCGAAGTAAGCTCGACTGACACCTAAACTTGTACAAACCATATAGAGACACATGACAAAGAGATAAGAGTATCCCACGAATTCGAAAGCACAAAACTAAAATATCAATTTTATCAAATATAAAAATTTTAAATTAGTTTTTGAACTTCGTTTGAGAGAAGAAACCCTATTCGATATTTTGAACAAACTGTGCATTTTTATTTTATCATCTTGATTGAGTTTTGTTAAAAAAAAAAAAAAAAAAACTTTCTATACAGTAGCGGTGATGATTTCAAGGATGACGGTCGGAGGCGATGGTCTGAAAGTGAGAGGTGAAAGGTTTTTAAAAAAAATAAGTGATTGAGATCGTATAGATTCTTTAGGTTTAGTTGTTTTTGTGTGTATTATTTATTAACCGATTGCAGTATATAAATAATAAACTAAGGTACATTACATTGCAACTAAGTTGTATTGTACGACAATTTTAGAGTACGTAAGTAGAGAATATAAATTTACGTAAACTCAACGGAAGCATATAATATATTCGTTACATAAATTTTACAAAAGTAGGTGCTTACTATAAGGACTGAAATTAAATGTATTTTATCTGACGAGTATTTAAATCAAAGTGTCCATAGATTTAATTGATAGTATTTTAATTTTATTTAACACTTATTCATTATTACTAAATTAGAAATTTTGGCTAATTTGGTGAGATAATTAAAAAATGGACTAATTTTTTGAGACATAATTTTATATAGCATTATTATTGTTATTATTATTATTTTTATTATTTTATTTTCTAGACAATTATGGGTGTGTTTGTCTGAAGGATTTTGATAAATTTTTATAATTCACATAAAAATTTTTTTTTCAAAAATATCAAATCAAACATCTATTTTTTATTTTTTATATTATACTAAAAATCAATTTTACATTTAAAACATCACATCAATCCATATTCATATAACATCATACAACTATTTCAATTCAAATATTTTATTATTCAAATCTCAATCCAAAATCCAAACCCCCAAACACACCTTATATTGTTTGCAGTTATTTTTGAGGTTTTTATAATTTATTATCCATACCTCTCAATACAACAGTCTTTTTACTATTTTTTTTTTTGTCCTAAAACAATGGTCTCATTTTCATAAATAACTATTATCACCAGTATATCAAAAAAATTATTTATCTTTACTTACTTTTGGGGTGGAGACTAATATTTTTATTAAAATGAAAATTAAATATATCTTTTTGACAATAAAAAAATATAAGTTTAAACTACAAATATAGTAACAATATTTATTTATATTAAATATGATAACTATTTCAATTTAAGATTTGAATATCGGAAACAATAACACATTTTTTTTTAATATTATTTAAATGTAATTGGCTCGAAGAAATAATTGTGAGGGTCAATTTCTTCCTAAAATGAGGAGTCCATCATGCGATGAAAGAAGCGCATCGGCGGAAACGCAACGACGACGACGACGCCGCCCTCACAAAGATTTCTTCCGGTGTGCCGCCCTTGTCCTCCCCTACCTAACCCCTACCGAACTAGCCTCCGTTTCCTTGACCTGCAAAACCCTGCGCCAAATCTCCAAATCCATAACTCTCGGAAGAATCTCCAACTCTTCCAGAGGGTTCGAGACCGTTCCAACCCCATTCCTGAACCCCACAGCCAAAGCCAACGCACACCCGTACTCCTACTTTCTCTACACCCCGACCCAGACCCTCCCCGTAAGTCCGGATACCCGCCAGTCCTGGGGCTCCAGCGATGGTCCGCGGGTAGAGGGTCGACCCGACCCGTTTCTGTTCCGGGTCGAGGGTGCTATCGGGTGCGATTGCGAGACGTGCAGAAGTGGCGATGGCTGCCCGTGCTCCGGGGAATGTGGACCTAGCTGTAAATGTGGGTCGGGCTGTGAAAATCGGGCGAGTCAGGGCGGAATCACGGCCAGGTTGAAGATCGTGAGAGATGAGAGGAAAGGGTGGGGTTTGTATGCTGCTCAGTCCATTCCTTGCGGACGATTCGTCTGCGAGTATGCAGGTAAGCACCGTACGAATTACAATTTACTCATTACGATTAATTTGCAGTAAGATTATATATCGATTTCAATTGCGAATTCGCATTATTGATTTCATTCAGTGATTTTTGAACCTAAATTCATGTTCAGAAAATATATTACTAATATTTTGTATGAAGGGAACAGGAGGCTTGTAGGTACTTGAATGAATTTTTCTGTGAATTCTTCCTCCTATTTGAAAATCGTTGTTTGCTTTGCTTGAATTCAGTTAGTCGATTTTGTTTTTAGGGTAAATTATATTGCACACACATTTATGTTTGATGAAAAAAATGTGAAGTTTGGATACCTTTTTTCTTGTTAAAAAATAACAATAACTAAGCATCGCAAGCTTACTATCCAAATGATTTTTGAAGATTTACATTTTCTTAATATTTTTTGGACAAGAATCACAAGATTGGGAATGGAAAACAGTTGTTAACATCAAATATTTTTACCTTGTGTTTTTTAGGAATGAACTGTTGAATTAAAGTTTTCACAATGTTTATTCTTATATGATATAAGATCATGTGTACGATAGACACATAATCCTTAAAAATTTATAATATAAATTTGATCTCATTTCTTCAATAAAATTGGAGAAATAAGCCATCAATCTTATTTATTTTATTTCTCTTTACTACAAAAAAAAAAGAAAAAAAATTCTAGGGTGTGTTTGTTCGTGGGTTTTAGTTTTTGGGTTTGGATTTTGAATAGTAAAAAATTGAATTTGAATAGTAGTTTGATGTGATATTTTGAATGTAAAATAAATTTGTTGTATAATATAATAAAAAAAGAAAAGTAATTATTTGATGTGATATTTTTGAAAGAAAAAAAGAATTTGAATAGTAAAAATTTGTAGTAAAATCCACAAAAGAACACAACTCTAATAAAAATTTGGCAATCTTTCATTTGCGTAATAAGTATGTGATTGTTAGCCGTCGTTACTTTTGAAGAAAAATGGCACACTATACAAGATTTTACAGTAACACGAGAAAGTATTATGCTATAAATAAAAGTATAAAACACATGATGTTTTTATATAACACGTAGTGTATTATGCAATTTACCTTTGTTTTTAATCAAATTGGTCATCAAACCAAGTAGAATGAATGATGCTCTCGACGAGTTTCTTGACAGATCTAAGGATTTGAACACATCATCAACATTGGATTGGATTGGATTGGATTGCATTGCATTGTTGTCAATCTAAATTAGTTGGTTGCAGGTGAGCTTTTATCAACAAAAGAAGCCCGTAGAAGGCAACAGATGTACGACAAACAACGTCACTCAGCAGCAGCTACAGCTTCTTCACTTCTGGTGGTAAAGGAGCATCTTCCATCAGGAACAGCATGCATGAGGATCAATATCGACGCCACAAGAACTGGGAATGTTAGCAGGTACATTAACCATTCTTGTGATGGCGGGAATCTGGACACGGTGATTCTAAGAAGTTCTGGAGCCCTACTGCCCCGCATTTGCTTCTTTACATCCAGAGATGTCGGAGAAGACGAGGAACTGAGTTTCAGCTATGGTGACGTAAGTCTCAATCCGAATGGGCAGCCGTGTTTGTGCGGTAGCGCTGCATGTACCGGCATCCTGCCTTCTGAACATACCTGAAAATTGAATTAATCTAATGTAAGTTTGTGATGGCTGGCTGGCTGGCTAATTAATATTGTTCTGGCAGCCAGTTATTATGCATCTGTGGATTATTGTGTCTGAATTTCTTGATTCTGGATTTGAATTTTTTGTCTTTCTTCTTTTTTGTGTTTCTACGATTAAACTCTATTCAGGAATACATATATAAATCAATGAAGGTCTAGGAATGGCATTAGTATAGCACAGCCAGAGCTATGAAACACAGTTTATTGATTAAAGAAGAGCACAACCACAGCTAGCATGCATGGGCGTGGGTATTACTATAGTTAGGTGTCGGATCGCTCCTCCTCAAATATCTTCCTATCATCCTAACAGTAACAATTTCTTGATATTCTTAAGAATTTTGCTAGGACAATGTCATTACATTAGCACAAAAGCACACTAAGGTACCCTATTTATTATAAGTTTTGCTCTCCCTAAAAAGTGATAATTAAGGTACCCTATTTATAAATACAATGATAGGATTCAGTCTAAATCTATCTATTACCAACCAAAGTCTTTCTATTACAAGATAAACATATACTAGGTCAATACTATAGGATAAATATCGGTTACAACCTGTCGGATAAACTGGATTTAGTCATGGTATTCTAGTTCTTTTTTAGAGTTCCAAATGTTCTAGAAGAGTCCAAGAGCCTCCGCGACTCGGCTTGCCTCTTTACCCCTCTCAATCACAATTTTAGCCCGAGACACACTCCCCGATTTGAGCTTGTCATTGCCCTTAATGTCTCAAAGTCTCAAACAAGATTTTCGAACTTAAATAAGTTCTTGGTTGTCTCCCAATTTGTCTGGGACTCAAACAATCCACGCAACTTGACCAAGCACTTTACCAAAGGTGCTCCATTCTTTTAGTGTATAATTTTGTCGGCTAAGATTTCTTCGTCTACTTAGTTATATGATGTTTGTATGCCAAGCGGGGGCCTTGTCGACTCATTTCGGCTTGGGTCCTGAGTGTAATTGAGATACGGCTTCAACAAGCTCACATGGAGCACAAGGTGAGTTTTATTAGTGTTTTGAGTAGTTCCACCTTGTATGCTACCTCTCCAACTTTCTTTAGTATCGGGAATGTGTCCTCATATGTCCACATTACGCCTTTGTATACCCCTTAAAGATGGCCGTTTGGATATAAATTTACGAATACTAAGTCTCTTCTTGAACTATTGCAACATCCATCTCCGGTTAGTCCCCTCCCCCCCCCCCCCCCCCCCCCACTAGTATGCTCCTACACCCTATGGACTTCACTAACCTAACGATATAATTTACAGAGATACTCTCTCACATCCATTCTGGTATGAGCAATGACCAGAGCAGTCCCATAGGTGGATGATTCTCTTATATGCCTTACTAGCATATGAGGCATGTCCATACATACTCCTTTACATACTTCTTATCTATGGTCAATAATAGCACTCTCGAAGAAGGGCTATAGTACATTGCACACTTGGGTATCCCGCATACTTGAGGTTGTGATACTTCCGTAAGATATCTTGTCTTAAGCTTTCCCAATCCGGCATGTACATCAGCTAGCTTTTTTCATGACCAAGCTATCTTCCAATGAAAAATTTATTGTCTTCCCTTCCTTGAATAGGTCAAGCATGGCATACGTTAACTCATCATGCACCAATCCCTTGCATATTCGATCAACATTGTCCCCGTCAACATAGCACATAGCCGCTACTCTATGGTTAAAGATGTTTGTTGCAACATTAGTCTTTCCAAGTCAATACTCAATCTCTAATTTGATTTTTGCAAGAAAATCAAGCCACCGTGCTTGTTTACCCGTTAGCTTCTTCTAAGATTGGAAATAACTTACAACCGGATTGCATGTGATAATCATGTAAGATATATTCTCATACAATGCACCACTGCAAGCATTTTTTTTTTTTAATTGTTGGTTGGTCATTCCTTCTTTGCATTTATCAATTTGTAACTCTTTTATGCCACTGGGTGTCTCTCTTGCATGAGTACACCGTCTACGGCTATGTTTGAAGTGCATTTTACCACCTTTAATGGTTTTAAGAAGTCGGAAAGCATGAGTACCGGGATATCACTTGACATTCTTTTATCCACTCTCACTTTTCTTTCGCAACATGTCCATCAAAAGTATCTCCATAGTCAAATAGCCTTTGACAAATTGCCTACAGTAATTTGCCAGGCCAAGGATAGATCACACCGCTGTTAGTGACTTAGTGCCTACCACTTGATCTTTTTTAGCTCCATGTATATCCTCTGATCACCGATAAATTGTTCCAAGAATCCTACCTATCATAGGCCAAACTCACACTTGTCATTTCTCATATAGTGATTGACTTGTAGAGCTTAAAAAACCTTTCATAAGTCTTATATATGATTTGCCGAATTTTAACTATACAACATAATACCATCCAAATATTCTACGACAAAGCTGTCAAGGAACTCTCTCAACATATCTTGCATCAGGATTAGAAAGTCGTAAGGGCGTCTTTCAAGCCAAAGGGTATGACATTAAACTAATAGGACCCATACCACATGATGAATGTTTTTTTAGGTTCGTCACTGTTTCGTATCCACACTTGATAATACTATTTTCGAATGTCCACTTTGGATAACACTTTTGTTGGTTATAAATGTTGAAAATTTTGACTGTTTGAAGCTAATCCAAAAAATCTCTCGATAAATAAATTATGTTGACCCGTTTCTTAGCCCATTCCCTTTACCTAAACCCAAGCCCATTTCCAAACCCATTGATACAGGGCCTGTGTGGTTGGGGGTTAAAAGGATAGTTAAGTGGTTTTGGGGTGTGTTTGTTTGGGAGAATTAAATTTTAAATATATTATTTATTCTATTTTTTTTTAAAAAAAATATCAAATCAAACACTTATTTTTCATATTTTATATTATACTAAAAATTAATTTTATATTTAAAACATTACATCAACCCCTATTCATATCATATCATAAATAACGGTTCAAATTCAAAATTTTTATTATTAAAATTCTAACTCAAAATTCAAACCCCTACAAACACACCCCGAGAGAGAAACCCTACAAACACACCCCGAGAGAGAAACCGCGTGAGACGTGAGACACAGAGGAAAACCAAGATAGAGGGAGAGGGAGGGAAAAGAATCACGAGTGATTGTTTCCGGTGAGAGTAAAAGTCTTAGAGTGAGAGCTGGCCTCCACCTTGCGGCTTGGTTATTATAGTCCATATGGCGCACCTGGATGCCGAAACATGTTGTCCATTCGCTGGAGAGTTGAATATTCGAAGCCCCAAGAAGATCGGTGAAAGAATCGGAGTTGCGTTGTCGCTAGAGAAGAACCCTTACCGGAGCTGTTGGCTGGACGCTTAAGGAAGATGACCGGAGAAATCGCCGGAGTAGTTCGTCATTGTTCGCCGAAGGACATCCACTGCCCCAGTCGCTGCTCGTCGTCGCCGATTGAAGTTGTCGATGTCTGTATCGAATTTGGAGTTTCCCAAATGCAGAATGAAGAAGACGAACAGGGGGTTGAATTGCTTTCTTCAATTCACAGCATTGTTTGTTTGGGTTTTTATTAATGTGCCAGAAATTCCAGTATTTAGCCTTAATATAAATTATTGTTTTCAATTTCGATCCGATTTGTGGTGGCAGGCCTCTCAGAAACTCACTTCGCATGATATTCTCAAACTTTTTGAATTGTTGATGAACACGATTATATTCGGTTCAAATTTTTGTTACATCCACATCAATGTTTTTCATTAGTGTTTCAACGATGAAACAAAACTAATTAAACTTATCTGTAATGAATTTTTTATATTACAATTTAAATATAAAATTTTTTATTTTAATCGAACCAATATTGATTTTTTTTTTCCTAAATATCATATTCTTTCCATTTTTGGCTCTGTCTTTTATTTTAGATTTTTCTCAATCCTTTACTTCTACAACATAAATAGATGTTAATGTCGCAGTGTTTCAATGCTTAACCTAAATTGGATCAACAAATTCATAAAACTTATTTTGTTTCAACGACAATTCACGTGCAAGTGCATGATTTGTAGGTTATATATGTTTGCTATATACAAGAAAGGTAGGGGATTGAGGTTTTGTAGGACGATTCAATAGCAGCCAATGACATAAATTAGACAATGTAATCAATCAAAAATACAATTCCATAATGGCTATTTTTTTTACCGCTTAGCTCAAAGTATAATTTTTACTATTTTATTTTTACTATTTTTCTTTTGTTTTTTTTAAAAAATAATCATAAAATACTTTTATTTTTTACTTAAATTACAAAAAAAACAAATGAAAAAATGTCAAAAAAACTTACACACTTTCACGGCATTAATGGCATTAATAAAATAATAATATTTCGTAATCTATTACAAAACCCCAAAATACCCTTTGATTTAGAAGAGAGGGGGTATTAAAAACAATACAAGGGGAGCAACAAAGATTAAATAATACAAAGAGAGGATCAACCAAGAATGCAAATGACTGGACAATTCGACAACAAAGAGAGAGAAACGGCACGTCATAATAATAATAAATAGCATAACAATAAAGGCTCTAAGACTATTATTAGCCAATTTAGAATAAAATCAGATCATAAAAACACAATTACTCACAGATTACTAGAAAGAAATAAAAACTTCAAATTCAACAAATCCTAATGTCTAACTCAAGCCATAACAAGAAGCAGTAGTTGAATAACTAGAGTCCAATACCTAGGAGAAACACAAACCAAACCAAACCAAACCCAACCCAAGGAACATGCCATAAGGAGATGACTGGAAAATGGCAACAGCAACAACTCAACTGCAGCAGCTAGACAATGACGACAATGGCAGGTTGCTGTAGCAACAAGGGCACAACCAAAAGAAGACAATGCAATGCAATCGCCCAGCAGCTTATAATGAAAAGGCAAAGCATAAAAACAAATGATGCTTGCCTTATTTTCAGCCTTTGTCCACAATTTCCACTGGGATGATAGGAATGGACTCCCACCATTCCCTCAACCGTCGATTACCCTTCTCACTCTGCAGCTGCTTCCCAAAGAAGAAACACAGCACCATTGCTATCACAATGAACTTTAAAGGAACCATCGCCAGTACGGCCGCCAAAAATGTCATAACCATCATCACCCTATTCGTGTGCTGCAAAACACAATACCATGGGTACCAAATTGTTTACCCCATTAAAATTAAAGGTTCAACTTATCTACCTTAATCACTTGCAATAAACATGCTGAAATCAAATTATTGATATTAGAATGTAATCGTGTAACAATCAATATATACATATATACCTTTGGGGCTTTTGAGATTAGTACTGACCATATCTTAAGTACTGTTATGTTCACAAGCTGCATTATTTCGTGTATACTTCTCAGCGCATGTTGGGCGGACACAATGCTCTCTATGGTAACCTGATCGGGTCCACTCTGTATACAAATTTTTTCATGCTCTTCTGGAATCATCTTCTGTCTTGTCCACAGCATATTAGCAACCCCACACAACAAGAAGGCAGAAAAAGACAAGCCGACCAGCTCTCTGTATTGCAAAAGGATATTCAAGAATCACTACGCATTAGCAGAGCTTATTACACACGTCAGTATTGGCACATACTTGTAAATGATTCCCAGAGTTGCAATCATCACAATACAAGTTGTCCCAGGCTGTTCCCACGTAAAAATTCTTCGAGCAAAGGGTACTACTATTCTCAAAAGTGGTTTCAGCAGCCCCTGCATGCATTCAACATTCAAGCACTGAATCAAAATGCAGGCAGTCCTAAATTAAAATCGATATTTTACAGCTAGGAAGTATTATAAATCATGCAAAGGATGTTATTAGATTTTCATGGCTCCTACGTACCAAAAGAACTTGGGCACTCTCGCTTATACCTTCCTCTTTTATGCTCACAGCAGTAGCTTTTGCCATGTCCATTTCTTTTCCTTCCTCCCGCGCTCTGTTCACAGCGCTTTCCAAAGACGAAATATTTTCGGGGCGGACAATTTCACTGTTGTTGGCATTGATCTCTTGAGTGTCGTCCACAAAAGGAATAGAAGCTCGGGAAATATTAAAGTTGTTGAGAATTGAAGTTGCAGTGCATGGGTGTCGAGTAGTTAAGTTGTTTAGAGTCTGGGCAAGCTCCTGCAATACATAGTCCCCCTTGGGCAATTCGTCCAGCAACACAAATATCAGAAAGTTTTTGGGCTCCGGAGGCGAAATTCTAAGCATTTCTCTTGCTGCATGAAGTCTAATTATCCCCAAAATGGTCCTTGCATGCATCTCCCACATTTCAACTGATTCGACCTTGAACTTCGACAAGAACCGATGTAGTAACATAACCTCCTTTATAAGAGCCAGCCAATGATCACGTCTTGTGGAGCTAGTCATCTCCGGAAATTCTAAGACAACAGCTTCTTGCCTAGAATGTTCCCCAAGAGCAGATACACATTAATCTGTTATAGTTGTCGGCCTGAAATACCTCAGCTTTAAACAGTAAAAATAATAAAATTTCTTGAAATTACAGTTAGGTTGTGGAAATTTTTTTTTTTTTTTTCCGATACTACTGTGAAATAATCACATGTAAAAATACAGGAACATATCCAAGTTGCATACTTACAAATCGGAAGCTTCATAAACTATAGCTTTGTCAAAGAGTGGAGCACCCCAAGGGCCTGTTGCTGCGGGTTTCACGTTCTGCTCAGTATCCTTCGAAAGATCAAGTTTCATTGCATCTTCATACGATACAACACCCGATGCCTCAAAGTAAAGAGCATTGTTTGTCAGTGTCAACCTGCCTACAAAGATAGCAGTTATCTTAACACAATGAAACATTACATAGTTTCTAAAACTAAAGAATTGAAAATTGAAAGAGAAATATTTCAGACTGACCAGGCCAGCTTGTTCCTCCAATATGGCGCACGACTCGCTGTGAAGTTGGAGTTCCCTCGACGTGTAAGATAAATTCACCATCTGTTAGCTCTATCCCCTTTGGAGTTTCCTGATTATGCAAATGCTTCATGCATCTAACAAAAATCATGAAACATGTCATGCTTTCACTAAGCATTGTCTACTCATGGGAAACAGATTGCCTTATCCATACAACATGCATGTAAGAACGAAAGAAAATAGAATACAAAAGACTCTACATCGAATGAAATTTTCTTTCGCAATCTTTGCTAGATAATATGTTTCAATGCACTATAGGACCCATAATTATAAGAATTTCGAAAATGAGGATATGAATTGAAGAATATACTTGTGGATCTCTTTTAGAAACTTGTCATAAGCTGGATAGTGAAGGCGATTCCCTGTAGGAGAAGTCAATGTCTCAAAAGTAAACCTCCCATTGACGGTGTCGACAACCAATGGAACAGTGATTGCCAGCCATACAAATGCATCTGCACCAACACTGGGCTCTCCATCTACCTATCATACAAATACGAATATTAGCGCCTCATCACCCCAACCGTGCTATGAATTCCATCAATTCACTTCACTTACAAGTAGTGGCAAAAGATCAGAATAGAAAAGAGGAATATCGTCCTGAAACTCATCTGTTCCGCTCAAAACCAACTTCTCCTCTCTCTCTTTCCGAACAGATTCCTAAGAAAAATGAAGCTGATGAATTAAAGAGCATTACTAGGCATATAAAATCTATAGTGTTTTCTGATGCACAGGATTCTAATCTCTTGCTTGGAAATTCTTGCTTTTAATTGATATAATATATGTATTCTTGAAAATTTTGAAAAATGAATAGGTAAACATTCTAAAGTATAAGAAATTTTGTTCAGTATAGCCATTAATGATGCCGAATTCCCAGCAGAGTCCTAAACACGCGCACAAACAATGTATGCCTAAAATGAGGAAAATTTTTTGAGAAGACTGTAACTATGTATGCCTATATTCTGCTCAACCAAAATATAGAGAGAGATTGCTGACAGTGAGAGTATAAGATGCTTCCTGGGCAGAGGTGGGCATTTCCCAAGCAAGCATCATATCAAACGTGAATCTGCTAAATGAACCGTCACTAATAGTCTCATCCAGACCACCACATATCATGATTTTAACTGCTTTGGAGCAACAAAACTCCACTAATTTTCTGGAATACCCATCATCAGACTGAGGTAGAGCCTCCCACTCCTTGTCAAATTGTTCAATCAGTGCATCAACACAAGTATCAAGGTGCCTGCACCGACAAAATTCCTCACGAACACCATAAATTTAAAATCAGGCGTATTTACAACAAATTAAGCAGCACAGGAACAATAGAAGAATAAATAAAAAAAAATCCATGGAAATCTTAGATAGAAAGAAATTAAGCGAATGAATTACTACTACTACTGAGTACTGACCTAGCACATCTCCGAACGACGTCGTTGGCAATGGTGGAAAGATACTTCCTCTTCCTCTCCATATACCTATTACCTTCCATGCCTCTATTTCTCTGCGGGTAGTAGCATTGGGTTGGGTGTTGTGAAGAAGAAGGAGGAGGCGGCGGCGGCGGCGGCCAAAATGACTGACAGTGTCCATAGCCGTACGTCCGCGCGCCTCGTGGCGAACATGCACAACACCGCACCTTTAATTTAATTTAATCAATTTGTTGTCTTTCTACACTAGCTAGCTAAATAAATACTCAGGTGTGTTTACTTGTCACGTTTTTACATCTTATTTTATTATTTTAATTTTTTTTTTCAAAAATATTAAATCAACATTAAATTTTTATTTATTTTATTACACTAAAATATAATTTTAGTAAAATATTTGATTTGATATTTTTTTTAAAAAAAAAAGATGAATAGTATCTAATTTTCAAACACATTTAAATATAAGAATCGAATCTGAGACCTGACCCAACTCCCAAGCGATGAATATCTCACCACTTGATCTACAAGGTTGGACATATCGGCCTAGTTAGTTATTGTAACGTACGTATGCATTTTCAATTGCGTTCCCTTCTTCCTTCACTTACATCTATCTACATTATAATTGTGAAGTTTATCCAAATTGCCGTTAAAAGGCTATGCCTGTGAGTATTAGGCCAACTGCAATGGAAACATCAGCAATTCTTTTAAAAAGAAAATAAAATAAGAATAAAGATGTTGCTTTCCAGCGTTTCGAAAAAGAGAAGATTTTGATTAAATTGGGGCACATGATATTTATGTATATATATGATATATATTATATATGTTTTGTTTTTGTAATTTATATTGAATTTATTGTTATATTTAAATTTTGTAATATTTTTATAATTTATAATATTTTATATTATACAAAATGATACCAATATTAAACATATTTTATTAATTTAAATTTTAAAATATATAAATAAAAATATTATATAATTCTATTAACAAATCAATATTAATAAATTTAATTTAATTTATTAAATAAAATTTTAAAATTAAATTAAATAATAAATAATATAATTTTTCCCATAATTTTTTAATAAATCAAAATATTGGCAAATAATAATATAATATAATATAATAATTAATACTATAAATTAAAACTATAATTTAAAAATAATATATATATATAATATGAAAATAAAAATTTATTAAAAAATTAAGATAAGTATCTTTGTTGTCCGCTGACGTGGGAGAGAGAGAGAAAGTGACGTGGATAAGAAAAAGTAGCAGAGATACCCAAAAACGGATATATACGTTGCGAATGGTCTTAGAATAGTAATCGTAGGCTTTTCTAATTTTGGAAGTTACTATTCTATTCACAATATGTGTGTCCAATTTGTTCCGCCTACAACGCACTCCACTGTATCGCATTGTACGGCCTTTTATAGACAAAATTTATTTTGATTTGAAAAATCAAGTTCGTTCTATCTGAAAAATCTTAGGATCAATTTTGAGAAAAATCGGATCAATTGAACTTGAAATAGAAAAAACTAGTATCATATTCAAGTTGACCCAATAATCGAAAATATAAAAATTAAGTTAGATTTTGAATTTCAGCTTTAGAATAGACATGAAATTATTTTTTATTTTAATTTATAATATTTATATTATATCAAATAAAAACTACATAATTATAAAAAATGAAGAAAAAAGATAAACAATTTTAGGTTTGTATGTGACACCAAATATTTTATAAAATATAAACAAATATAAAATATTTTTAAGTTAAAAATTATAAACCCTAAGACCATGAATTTTTTTTTATTATAACAATTAAAAGAAATAAATTTAAATGTAAATGTAAAAAAATATATAATATAATATTAAATTAAATAATACTCTATCATTCCCATATATATATCAATTTACTTTATGCACGGAATTTAAAAAATTTTAGTATTATATTAAGATAAAATAGAAATAAATGTAAAAAAATTAAATTAACTCTATTAGTATTGTATGATATAAAGGTAATGATATTTGTGTAATATATTGTAAATTGGAAGGATATTTGTAATGTTAAGTAGATAGTACAATGAAATTGATATTTTATTATGAAACGCACCAAAATAAAAAAATGAATAGATAATTAAAAGAAAAATGAAGTAATATGTATTAATTATTTTTAATATTAAATATACTATTAATTTTAAAAATAAATACTCATTTAAACTACAATTATATATATATATTAATCATATTATATAACATATAACCGTTCTTCAGCATTTTTCGCTGGATAACGGTTCTTATGATATAATTTTTTTAATTAAATTTTATTGATGTAGCAAGCTACATAGATTAATATCAAACTTATTATTGTATAAGAACTAGCATTGAAGATGGTCTAATTACAACAAATAGTTCTACACTAGACAATTCGTTCAAAAATCAAATACTTATTTCTCTTATGTTAGTGTATTTAAGAAGAAATTATAAAGAAAAACACAAATACACAGTCACGCATGTTAATGGTCAAACTCGAAAATTAATTTGGAAATTCGATTTTTCTCCTAGGTTTTATACGGCGCTGAATCACACTTGCACAAGTATTAAAGTAGTTGGTTTGGAAAATTGATTAATCTAGCCGTTCATCTCTTTCAGTCAATTTTTGGATTTTTTTCATTTATTTCACCTTTTAATTTTTTTTCTTCTAAATATAACTTAATTTTAGTTAAGTTTAAAGATTTTGGATTTTTTTTTTTAAATTTTTAATGTGTAGACAATTTGCAATTTAGTTTTGATTTTTATGTTAAAAATAAATACTACAATCTCATACTAAAATTTTAAATGTTTGTTTTAAAAATACTACATTTCTTAATTTTTTGCATTAATAGAAAATGTTTATATAATATAATGAATATTAAGATAAAGTATTATCTAAAATTGTGTTTTATCTCTTTTAGTTGTAATTTTCTTAAATAAAATCTCTTTGTTTCATCGTATTTTTTTATAAAGTGTTTTCTTATTTCACTAGTTTCTTTTAAAGTCTCGAATTTAGTATAATTTTTATATTGAAATGCACAACCAACACAAACATTATTTACTATGGTGTGTATTGTTATAACTTGTAATAAAAAATTGGGGCGTAACCAACTGTGGCAAGCGACATTCTTTCTTTTGGCGCCTGAGCCATTCAGCTAGGCAGACGTCCACCTGTGACGAAACGATGATCCAGAAGTTCCAAGAATTGATCAAGTGTGGAGTTCTCAGCGGTTAGCTATTTATTGCCGGCCAACGACGACCGACTCATTTGAGTTGTGTCGATGCCTTCCAGCCGATAGCAAGGCCAGCAAGGAAGATCTGTGCTCGACTAATGGAGTCCTGCAGACGAGCGAGCAAACTGGGAGTTATGGCAGTTTCAACCATTCAACCAACTAACTATCTAACTGCCCAGCGGTTGCAACAACATTTCAACCCCCCAACTGCTGCTCTGTAACCGCTCAACTACCGCCAACTGTCGATCCAAAAATCTATAAAGAGGGCAAGATTTCTTGTATAATATATCATAGATCATACTGTGATACTCTACTTTTACTCTGTTCATTTTCCAAGAGCTCAAATCTTGTAAGGGAGTCTTCCTAGTTAGAGAAGGAAGTCGGGGGAGTGGAGATTCTCTCATCCCCTGACCATCCAGTTTTCAATTGCTTTCTAGATAGATTACAACTTTCTTTATTGCTTTGTTATAGCTTTATTAATGTGGAGTAATCACTTTTCTAGAAGTAATTCAATATCAAGATTTCTTCATTTTCAAACTCACTCCAAATTTCAAGTTTATATTTGATTGTTTAAATCTAGATTTTTACTCATTGTGGAAAGTGCATCAGAAAAATTGATTATCAAAGCTTAATTTTGCGTCGTATTCATTTAACATATTTTAGATAGTTCAACGTAAATATGTATGCGGGATCCTTGTCGACATGTTTAATTGTTGTTCGGAATTAAATTTTGATTAAACAAATGTGTCAGAAGGGTAAAACCACTAATAAAATAGATTACCAAAATAATTAATTAGACATAGACGGTTGTCTATCAGGTATCAGAAACGTATAGTGACAATAGTTTTTCTTACTTATAGTGTTTTGAATCTGGGTGTCATTGAAGCCTTGTTGTAAATCCGTAATAACAAGTACCATCGAGTCAAGAATCTGGTTTAATGAACTAGTATGATCACAATTCTTATTTCTATCGCGTCGCACTATACATATATGTTTCGCTATTTCACTCTCATCATCCGCTCATTCCATTCATGAGAATCTAGTCATTTTATTTTCACACAAATCACATACAAACACCTCTATCCATCCTCATCGTTGCTATTACCACCGCTCATTTATTCACTTTTGCTATCACTTACCGCTCGCCAACCATCACTCACATATACATATATACCGCTCATTGTCGCCTTTGCCGCTCCACGAACCAATGCACTCGCCGCTTGTGAACCATCGCTCCGCTCATTGACATTACGGCTCACTCATTACTGTTTCCTTTACCTTACTGCATTTTACTGCTTTTCGGCTGGCTCGCCAGTGAGCCAACTTTTATTGTTTTTTTCTAATTAGCCAGACTCAGTAAAATTTCTTGATTTTATTTCACGACTTAAAATCCTTGTGTTCGACTTGAAAACTCACCACTCAAATAGTATAAATCAATTATGATATAGTATTTTAGGATCTACAACAAAATAACTTTCATTAACTTCTATATCTGATCATTTACAATATGCAAATATGCAAGATTGTTTTAACCCATCAAAATCCCTATTTTCCAAAAGATAAACCATAATCATTCATCTTAATTTTAGTGGATCAGCATGTTTACGTTTTGGCGGTAGCGCCGGAGGATTAGCTACAGGGCCATGGGTGTTTCCCAGGACCACCACATAGGTTGGAAAAAGGACTCTTAGGTATTCGGCGATTGGGCACCCAACAACCATCCAAGTAATCTCCTACCATTCCTAGAAACCTTCAGCCGTCTCTGAGGTTATTTTGAAAGGGGTATAAGAATTGGGGGTGATATAGATAGAGAGCTGTCAATATAGGATTTTATTTGGTGCAGTCGGGCAAGGCCGTCTAGAGTAATGGAAATAAAGTGTGGTGGAGAGACTGAGCTTGTGAAACTTTGGCAACAACCAAGTTGACGGGCAAGATATTGGGGCTGATAATGGTAGGCAGCATAAAAT